TTTCTGCGAATGGCTTTAAATATTTTGTGTTGTTTGTGGATGATTATACACATTATATGTGGTATAATCCGATGCGTGCTAAATCTCAATTATATGCCATATTCGATAAGTTTTGGTCACTGGTTGAACGTTCCTTTTCTCGCAAGATTATTTCCTTTCAATCTGATTTAGGGGGAGAATATAAAAAGCTTGGATCCACTCTTTCTTCTCTGGGTATTCATCACATGCAATCATGTGCGTATACTCATGAGCAGAATGGTCGAGTGGAATGCAGGAATCGTCATGTTGTTGAGACAGGACTATCTTTGATGGCTCAAGCATCTGTTCCTTCTCGTTTTTGGGACTTTGTGTTTGAGACTAATGTCTATCTTATAAATAAAATGCCTACTCGTGTTCTGTCTAATGAGTCTCTGTATTTTCGTTTTCATCGTTCTCCCCCTTCCTACTCCTACTTGCAGATGTTTGGTTGTTTGTGCTTTCTTGTCCTTCGTCCATATAATCGCAATAAACTCCAGTTTCGTTTGTCTCCATGTGTCTTTCTAGGTTATCCTCCGTCTTATCGTGGCTATCGTTGTTTGGACACTAACACTAACAAGGTTTTTATCTATTGCCACGTGTGATTCGATGAGACTGTGTTTCCATTTGTTTCTCCTGTTGCCTCGCAGGTTGTTAGACCATGTTTCGAACCTTGGGCTACTGGACCGATTGTGACGAGCCGAGGTGGTGGTGTCTCGGCTACGGCTATTGATGACGCTTGGTAGTCTGATGAGCCCATCTCGGCTTCTAGCGATGGTGACGATAACGGTCCCGAGCAGTCCGCATCGAGTGAGTGGACTGTCTCGGACCAGCAGGTTGAGCAGCGCAGCAGGCCGCGTGGACGTCCTCGGTGAGTCACTCCTCCTCCTCGGTCGCATGCTATGAACACTCGTAGCTCGGGTCTGCATCAACATGTCGTCTTAACCAGTGTTTCTACCATAGTGCCTGAGCCCACTTGTTACACTCAGGCAGTCAAATCTCCTGAGTGGTGTGATGCGATGGACGTAGAGTTCAATGCTTGGTCCATAATCATACGTGGCGTCTTGTTCCGTTTCAACTAGGTATGAATGTTGTTGATTGCAAATGGGTTTTCAAAACCAAACGAAAGGCCGATGGTTCAATAGAATGTCATAAAGCTAGGTTGGTGGCCAAGGGTTTTAAACAGGTTGCTGGAGAGCACTTTTTTGAGACCTTTAGTCATGTGGTTAAGCCCACTACGGTACGCCTTTTCTTGTATTTAGCTGTATCTCGTGGGTGGACTATTCACCAGTTAGATATTCACAACGCCTTTTTAAATGGCGAGCTAGCTGAGACTGTTTATATGTGACAACTGCAAGTTATGAGGACAAGTCATTAACTAATCACATGTGTTTGGTTCACAAGATTGCATGATTTTCTTGTCTCTGTGGGCTTCTCGCCTTCAAAGACGGATGTGTCTCTTTTTATCTATTCTCGTGACAATATTCATCTTTATTTCTTGGTGTATGTTGATGACATTTTGATTATGGGTTCTGACTCAGAGCGTGTTACTACTCTTATTGATAAATTAGCACTTGAGTTTAAGGTTCGTGATATGGGTGTGCCTTCTTTCCTTTTGGGCATTGAAACTGTCCCGTTATCTGCCGGTATGCTTTTATCGCAACAACGGTATATGAAGGATATTCTCAAACGTGCTGGCATGGTGGACTACAAACCAGTAATCACGCCCGTCTCTTCTGCGAAAATCACCGACGAAGTCGTTGTTCCCTATGCCGATCCTACACAGTATAGGAGTCTTGCAGGTGCTCTCCAGTATCTTACGATAAATCGCCCTGATTTATCTTATGCTATTAATCTCTTGTGTCAGCACAAGCATGCGCCCACTACTACGGACTGGGCCTCTCTGAAAAGAGTCATGTGGTATGTCAAGGGCACCCTGAATCTTGGTCTGCGAATTTCTCGGTCTACATCTATGGATATTCACGCCTATTCTGACTCATATTGGGCTGGCGATCCAAATGATCGCAAGTCTACTAGTGGCTTTGCTATGTTCTTGGGTAGTAATCTTATATCTTGGGTATGTCGGAAGCAACGGAGTGTGACACGTTCTTCAACTGAAGCAGAATACAAGGGACTAGATGATGTATCTGCAGAGGTTACATGGCTTGTTTCCCTGTTAAACAAAATCGGCATCCCTCCTGCATCTCCTCCTCGACTATGGTGTTAAATAGCCTAGGTATACAACCGAACCACCACAATCTATGAGTAGTTATTGGACCTATTCTAATCCTACAAAGCAGGAAGAAATAATCCATACAATAGATTAAAACATACGTAAATATATTATGTCTTCTTACTACTTACTTATGTGCCAATCCAGTGTTTCATGCCCACACGAAGCACATTGAGATTGACTATCATTTTTTTCGCGATAAAGTAGCTAAAAAGGAGTTAGATGTGCACTTTATTTCAACCAATGATCAACTAGCGGATATCTTTACAAAGTCTCTTTCGTCTCTTCGTTTTAATTCTCTCCGCGTCAAGCTCAATGTTTTGGCTAGTCAACCTTGTGCTTGAGGGGGAGTATTAGGACGATATTATTCATATTAGACAAGGACTATATTATTCGTGTTAGACTAGGACTCTATCTAGTATCTATATATTACTCTCAGACATTATTACTGAACACAACACTTTTACATACACTCTCATCATTATATAGGGTATTTCTATAATTTGAATGCTTACGTCATTTCTATTTCTAAAACGAACCAAAACCTAAATATAATTCTTAAAATATATTCATTCCAAGAACAAAACAATGGAATATATATAATTCATGTTCTGTATCTTGATTTTCGATTCCCTATTGGATATTATTCTTCTTCCTCCAAACTCAATTACGTAAACCAAAGGCTACTTTGTGTGGAATATTTTTTCCATTTCTATTTCCTACATTTCCATTTTGTATACTCCATACCTTTTCTACATTAAAATTGGATATTATTCTTCTTCCTCCAAACTCAATTACGTAAACCAAAGGCTACTTTGTGTGGAATATTTTTTCCATTTCCATTTCCTACATTTCAATTTTGTATACTCCATACCTTTTCTACATTAAAAACAAATAGACCGAATTGTCTAAATGGATTTTTTTTGTCAGCCCATCCAATTTCCTCTAACTCCAAATTTCTAACCCTAACCCTTTATATACTCGTTACCATTTCCCCCATCTACCATCCCGGCCTCCCCCTCCCTCTCTCTCTCTCTCTAAGCACCAAAATCCTCTCTCAGTTTAATATTCTCTCTCGCTCTCAATATCTCTTAACTCTCGTCTCTCGATTGAAAAACAATGTTTCCTTCAATCGTCATTGAAACTCCTTAGATTGAGAAGGTAATCTCTAGTCTCATCCCCTTTGTTAGCTATAAGACTTGATTGTTTTATTTTTTTTTGTTTTGTTTTGTTTTGCTTTGTTTTTTTTTTTTTGTTTTTGATTTTTTTTTTTTACAAGTGTAGATGTATGTTGTCCATTTGAACAACCAACAAAAAAAAAATTGTTTTTTTTTAAAGAAATTGAAATGGGGAAAATATGGACAAATTTATTTTGAAACATATTTTATTGAATACTACATTTTCTATTTTCCTAAATTTGTGATACTTAATACACCCGTATTTACAAATTCGTCCCCAATTAAAGACGAGGAAGAGAAAAAAAATACTACTGAAATTCAAATAGCTTTTGCGCTATTTTGATACAATTCTCTCTCTCTCTCTCTCTCTATCTCTATCTCTATCTCTATCTCTATCTCTCTCTCTCTCTCTCTCTCTCTCTATATATATATATATATATATATATATATATATATATATATATATATATATATATATATATATATATATATATCTTTATATATATACTTATAAAAAAATATCAAGTTTTCATTTTCATTAGAAAGCTATTAAATCTGTTCAAATCTATTTATTTATCAATTTATAAAATATGAAACTAATAGACATTAAATTTTTTTCTTCATAAAGCAATAAATATGTAGTGACAATTGATAAAAGTATCAAGTAATATTGTAACTATGTAGGTTGTTATGGCCTTGTGGTTAGTAGATGGGATAAAGTTAGAAATAACAGTAAAACAAGTAAAAGAAATATGAATGTGATAAATGGGATGATGGATAGTCAATAGAGATAGTGGCAAATGGCTACGTAGGAATAATTTTATTTTTTAAAATTCTTATTAGCAGTTAATTAAAAATTAAATATTCAGAATGTGATAAATGGGATGATGGATAGTAAGTAGAGATAGTGGTTTGGAATGTAGTTCTTGATTCTTAAAAAAAAAGTAGAGATAGTGGCAAATAGCTACGTGGGAATAATTTTATTTTTTAAAATTCTTATTCGCAGTTAATTAAAAATTAAATATTCATTTATTCTACCAGGACTATGTGGTCCAATGGTACCCGGGTTGGACTTCCATTTGGAAGATTGTAAGTTCGAGCCTCAGTGGAGGCGTTATTAGCTCTTTGTGTTTCAGTAGGTTGAGAAAGTATATGAACAGATACTACATTCTAATAGAGCTAGTAGCATTCAAAAAAAAAATATTCATTTATTCTATCATAGATAATTAATTTTTTTGAGTACTTATAGATAATTAGTTAAAAACAAAATAAATTAATTCTATAATAATATACATACTGAAATTAATCAATGATGTAACACTAGCAATATTTATTGGAATCTTTTTGTAATTTGTATGGCTTTTATTCCTTTTGTACTGACATTCAAATTTCTTATGGATAATGTGAATGATATTATATAACAATTACATTCAAATTTCAAATTTCTTATTCCTTTTGTACTGGCATTCATATTTTTTAAGGATATGAGTTTGGTATAAATATATAATTAATTTTTTTTTTCTATTTTCAGATAACAAAAGCTAAGGAAGTTTAATCTAAGACACACAATCAAGATGTCATTCCCTACTCCTAAGCGAAAGCGCCATATGCCACAACCAAATTTGAATCAAGATATTATCACAGAAATCCTTAAAAGGCTGTCTGTGAAGTCTCTGCTGCAATTTAGGTGTATTTCAAAAGCTTGGCGTGATTTAATCTCATCTCCAGAATTTGTCAAATTCCACCTACATTTTCAATCGAAAAAAGATAATAAGGTCATGACTTATAGCAGCGCAAATTGGATTAATAGCTATATGTCATTGTTTTCTATTACAGAGAACAAGCAATCATCATTTCGCAAGTTTATTACATATGACCGCTTGGTCTTAATCCCTGAAGGTGGTTTTGAATTGTTGGGTTCTTGCAATGGGCTCCTTTGCTTTCGTGCTAAACCGTATAGAATAATCATTTGGAACCCATCATCAAATGGAAACATCAAGACAATCCCAGATGTCTGGCAGTTGGGCTACGTGAGCATTTTTGGATTTGGGTATGATGAGTGGGTTTGTTCATGGAAAAGAAGTGAAAGAGGATTTACTAGTGGGTTTGTTCATCCAAGAATTGCTGTGTTTGTGAGTGGTAGTCTCAACTGGTGCAACAACAACTTACATGAAAGTGACTGGAATTGGGATATAATTTCTTTTAACTTAACCACTGAAACTGCCAAACCTATGGCCTTACCCAGCCATGAACATGCGGCCGCTATTTGTATAAGTGAATCAAGAGGATTGCTTTTTGCAGGTTTTCATCACAAACGTCAAATGGAAGTTTGGGTGATGAATGAGTATGGAGTTGAAGAATCTTGGACTAAACTAGTCTGCATTTCAAACTTACCAGTTCATCATCCAGTTTCCCGGGGTTTCGAGAACACTACATACATGGCTATATGTAATTCGAAACTTGCAATTGCACATGTTTCTGAAAATGGGGATATTCTAATGATGGTTGGACATCAGCTAAAGCTCCATAGGCCTAATGCTAAAGGGGGAAAGAATTTTAATATCCCCTTTGGTCTTGGTTATATGGTAACTAGTTACGTGGAGACCCTTGTTTCCCCGGCCATGATTGGTCTGTAAATGATGATAGGTGAAGTGGGCAACCAGGCGGTCAACAACAACAACAACAATGATTATTGTGTTATTGGTATTTTAGTGTTGTGAAGTAAATTTTACTAGCCATCGCTGTTGAGAAATATTGATTTGTGTGAATGCAAAAAAGGTAAGCTATCCTAGAAATGATTATAAGTTAAATTTCATTGCATTTTAAAACGTACAGACACACTGTTTTCGATATATGTGTGAAGCTTTGTACTCTTGGACTAGACGTATTCTGATCTTAACGCCCAACGCATCGTGTTAAGGGTTATGACTTTGAGCGATTGTAATCCTTTGTGTACGATATATATGTTAAGGGTGTGTTTTTAGCCTATTTGTAATCCTTTGTGTACAATTAATGAACATTTAAACTATAAATGTGCATTGTGTTATGAATTATTACCACACTTTGTATTCTTGTGAATTTATAAAGATTCAGCTCAAAGGAGACATGGTGGCATAAATCGGAGCATTGCAAGACAAGGAGCGAACCAGAGCCGGGCTAGGATCACCCAACGCACGTGGGGAGTGCGTGGGAAGGGCATGGGATGAATAAGTGACCGGCCCACGCACGTGGGCCTGGTGCATTGGCAGTGCAAGGTTGGTGGATTTTTGAAGGCTAATTGAATGGAAGCTAGTTACTAGGCTAGGATGAGATTAGAATAGGGAAATATGATATATTACATTGTTCTATATAGTAGATTAGATTCTCTGTCTAGGTTTTCTCTCTAAATGGAAAACATATAGGCCCAATTCTCTGAATGGTATTTGTTTTCGTTGAGCCGCCCAATTTTCTCCAAGTCCAAATGTCTAACCCTAACCCTTTATATGCTCTTTACCATTTCCACCTACTACCTAACCCTCCCTCTCTCTAAACACCGAAATCATCTATATCAATTCTCATCTCACTTTAATTTTCTCTCTCACTCTCAATCACTTTTGACTGTCGTCTCTTGATTGTAAATTTATGTTTTCCATTTAGACTACAAAAAAATTGTTTTCTTTGTAAAAAAAATTGAAATTGGGAAAGTTTTTTCATTTCGAAACATATTTTATTAAATAAATTTTCTATATTTCCTAAATTTTGCTTAACTAATACGCCCGAATTTGCAAGTTTTTCGGCAATTAAAAGTGAAAAAGAGATATTTGTTTCATATCTATCTCTCTATCTCGCTCTCTCTCTCTCTCTCTCTCTCTCTCTATATATATATATATATATATATATATATATATATATATATATATATATATATACACACACACACACAATGTCTAAAAAAATTTCATGTTTTTTTTTTTTAAAAAAATAATATAGAACTCTAGAGATTACCTTCTCAATCGTGCAAAATTTTATAAAATAATAATTTGGAACCCTTCTTCAAATGTAAACCTCAAGACAATCCGAGATGTCTAGCAGTTG